AGGGGAAGAGCCACGAGGCTTGTCTGAGCAGACTCAGGAAGCCCACTGCTGCTGCTGCTGCTGCTGCTGCCGTTTGCTGCTGCTGCTGCAGCAACGAGTGCACCCGCCGCTGCGGCGTTGCGCGGCTCCAGCGCTGCTGCGTTCAAAGCAGGCCGAGGGGCCCCCGCATGAGGAGGGGCATCATCAGCAGCAGTAGCCTGGGCTGTTGTTGTAGGTGTTGCTGCTGCTGCTGCTGCTGCTGCTGTTGCTGCTGCTGCTGCTGCGGGTGGAGACGGGGTCTCAACGCGAGTCAAGAGACGAAGACGTCTGCGGGAGAAAGTGTCTCTCTTGTGCTGCCGCGCCGGCATCAGCTGCTGCACATAGGCCAGGCGATCGAGGCCCATGAAGCGCACCACTGCAGCAGCAGCAAGCAGCAGCAGCAGCAAACGCAGCAGCAGCAGCAAACGCAGCAGCAGCAGCAAACGCAGCAGCAGCAGCAAACGTAAGTACAGCAGCAACTGCAGCAGCAGCAAATGTATATGCACCAACAAATGCAGCAGCAGAGCATGCAAATGCAGCAGCACGAAATGCAAGTGCAGCAGCAGCTAAGCCCCGCACCTGTCTTCAGCAACGGAGGGACAGAGGGGTCCTGCTNGAAATGCAAGTGCAGCAGCAGCTAAGCCCCGCACCTGTCTTCAGCAACGGAGGGACAGAGGGGTCCTGCTGCAGCTGCTGCTGCTGCTGCTGCAGCTCCTCCGCCACCTGCTGCGCATGAGAGACAATCCTTCCCGCCCTAGCAGCAAAAAAAAACGCAAGACAAGCAGGCCGTAAGGAGACAGTCTGCTGCAGCTTGAGGTGTACATACACCGCAAACGGCCACATAAATCAAAGCTTAAGGAGACAGATCAAGAGCTAATGCGGAGACAGATATGTTGGTTGCAGCTGTGCCATGTAGGGTCTAGGGTTTAGGGTTTAGGGTTTAGGGTTTAGGGTTTGCAGCCTACGGGACCTTTATAACGTTGGAGGAGACACTGCAGAAGTATGTCTCCACCGGCAGCTCGTGGCGAGCCAGAAAGCCCAAGTACTGCAGCAGCACCTGACGTATAAAGAGCAGCAGCAGCAACAGCAGCAGCAGCAACAGCAGCAGGAGCAGCAACAACAGGAGCAGCAGCAGCAGCAGCAGCAACAAAGTGTGTCCTGATTTGGTGCTGCTCTGAGCAGGGCAAAGCGGCAAGCGGCGAGAGGAGAAAAAGAGAAAGAGAGAGACTATAAACACAGAGAAAGGAGAGATACAGACGGAGAGACAGGGACAAAGGAGACACATATGCAGGAGACAGAGATTAAAAAAAAAAAAAGGAGACAGAACACAAAGAAACAGGGGATGCAGAGACAGGAGACAGAGAAGGAGACACACAGAGAGGAGACAGAAAAGGAGACACGGAGACAGGAGACAGAAAAGGAGACAGAGGGACAAGAGAGACAGAAGGAGACAGAGAAATACAAAAGATATAAATAAAAAAAAAGGAGACAGAGAGAGGAGACAGAGAAAGAGGAATTTACCCTTCTAGCCTCAACCTCAAGGAGATCGGAGACACCAAACTCCTGCTGCAGCAGGCGGCAGCAGCACTGCAGCAGCAAAGCCCAGCAGCGCAGCAGCGCAGCATCAGAGACAGCTCCATCGGGGCTGAGGGTTTCTCCTGCTGCTTCTTCAGCATTGAGCCACAGCAGCGGCTGCTGCCAGTAGTTTCCTAGTGCCTGCTGCTGCTGTCTAGACACCCGAGCAGCAACAGCAGCTGCTGCTGCATCACCTGCTGCTGCTGCTGCAGCAATACCCCCCCCTTCTCCCCACTCCTCCTGGCCTTCTCCCTCTTCCTCTTCATCGAACCCCATTTGTGTAGCAGCAGCAACAGCAGCAGAAGCAGCAGAAGCAGTTGCAGGGGGCGTGTCTAGTGTTGCAGCAGCAGCAGCAGCTTTAGGGTCTCCTTGGGGGCCCCCGGGGGCCCCCACACCAACAGCAGCAAGAGCTGCAGCAACAGCATCTGAA